TTTAAACTCAAATAGACTTTCCTTTGTGCTTTTGTTTGCCAAAGACATCAAAATGTACTTGAACAAATGCACTTCTAAATGAATAAATGTACTTTCCTACTGAATCTAATTTTTGCTGTAAAAATCTACGGAGTTTGCTATCTGAATCAATTGTGAATAGATACAAATATGTATCATATATCATAAAATAATGGCAATAAAAGTTGTTTTATGGAGTTGTCTTCATGGGCTGCATGCACTAACCATGTGAGCGTTACAGTCTAATTCAAAAACAAAACGATTCTTTTTAGACAATTAAAACAGGGTTATTATAGTTATTATAACTAAATGGCTAAAATGAATAAAACTAAAGCTACAAAAACATTTGAAATAAAATAAACTTTAACTGAATTAAAATAAAATAAAACTTTTTATTTCAGCTAATTGTCAAGGAAACATTTCTCATTTTCATTTAATTATAACTTGAATGAGCTAAAATAACTAAAATTAAAACTGAAATAAAAATGTATGAAAAATATATAGACATATTTATAAAAAAATAATAATAAAAATGACAAAAACAACAAAATTACTAAAAAAAGATATAAAGAAAATGGAAAAAAATAAAACCTAATTAAAAATTTTAATAAAAACTATATTAGTATCTCAATGCTACTAAAATGACACTAATATATATAAGAGTATCATACTATTCTTTTTTACTTATATTTTAAATGTTAATATTTGACCAAAACATTTATATGGTCAACCTAAACGAGGTAATGAAAAATGTCAGAAAAAGGGGGTATCGTGCAGTCGTAGTGTGAGACAAAATAAAACAAAACACAGAACTGAACCAAACCAAGTTTTTGGCCTACTAACTGTGAGGATGAAATACAAATTAAAGTGCTTTGAGACATTTCCTACAGTTACTGGTTGCCATAGCTACAGGTATTACAAGACAATTTAAGACTCACACCTGCTAATAAATACAGCTGTCAATCCCCAACAACGACTGTGTGAATGTATCCAATCATATGCTAAAAACACAGGCTATGAAAGTCAAGGCAGTACTGTAATTACTGTCAAAAATGTCAGTTAACTGATATTTTACGCATTTGGACCAACAGAACCAATGACATACATAAAAACACTTAGACAGGGTATTGATGTCTAAATGAACACCTCAATGAGTATAGTGCTTCAGATAAACAGTAGAACCAGAAGCTCAAATTAGCTGACAGACTGAATCTATGGTGTTGTATTTCTCAGGTTTACGTCAGTTCCAGCCTGTTCGCTCGGAAAATAAGTGCAATCACACCGACAGGTCTTGACAATCTAACCTTGATTGAATTTCGCCATCCCTCTCTCGCACTAAAACACTAAAAGGACATAATTGTTAAACAACTATGTTCACCACCCATAATTTGTTAAAAATTACCGCCCTGCCTTTCGCTCTGTCCTCACATTTGACATTTACAGATGAGGCAACAGTACAAGCTTGAGAAGAAAATCAGGTGCAAATGTTGCATCAACAGACGAAATGGTCTGTAAACCGCGAACGCCTCTGGGAGAAAAGATCCATTTTGGCTGTATTTTTCCACATGAATATTAGCATGTGGACTAGCCTGTATGGTTCCGCTCCAAATCCTCTGTGACTATGTCTGACCTCAGTCGACCATACGCCCTAAAGGGACTCATTCTGTCTACAACATCAGGGACATTTCAGGAAATAAAACTTACTGGCTTGATAAAACATATACATGGTTTCTATAATGATGAGGGTGTAAGAAATGGGTTTTGATGCGTCCCACTCCCATTGAATTTTTCACAAAGTACTTTTGGGGCGAACCACGTTATCAACATGAGTATCATTGCAAGTACTAGCGGCTGTTTACCACTGTAACTAGGTAGCATCTCAAGACAAGAAGATTCTAGCTTCACTGTTTTATTCATGTTTTATTCACACTGGACTAGCCACCAAAACTTTACAAACAGACACAGCAGCACCTGCAAGAGATGCAGAGAATGTGAGCTGTTCTCCCAAGCCAATTTATTCACAGTTATGGAAAATTATCACATTATAATAAGTGTGACCAAGAGCATGCAAAGATGCACATTATATGTAATCAGTATTAGTTCACTTTCGCAATTTAATATGGATTGTGTTTATACCACAAAACTTACTGATGTCATAAATGATTCAATCTACTCATGAGTTCAGTCCACCTATGCTAAGCTAATACACTGAGCAGTTAGCTTGCAAAACATAAGCTTAAAAAAAACAAACATTGGGGCTGGGGAAAATTCCAGTTCAACACCAATGACTCCTTTAAACAAGTTCTTTTAGTGAATAAAAACATCCAATAAGCATTATAGTCTCATTTATAAAAAATGACTCTTAAGAGCAGGTTCTTTTAATGAATGATTCAAGAAGACTTAGAAATTGCTGTTTGAATCAGTCAGATCAGTCAACACAGCTATCCTTTAAGGGCTGCAATAAATTATCAATAAAACTGTTAATGAAAACAATCAACAATGAATTTAATTATTGATTATCAGCATCTGTGCATTCACAGAAAACATCTTAAAAATCCTTACAGACACGTAACTTTACAAACTATTTATTACTATTATAACTACTACTATTCAATTAATAAAAGAAGGACATAATTGATATATCAATCAATTATCAAAATAATCATTAGTGATGGAATAATTTAAATACATTCATGGACACACACACACACTTAACATGTAAAATATTATAAATGTATCATAATGTAAATATTCCATTGTTAGTTGAAACCGTTTAGTGTTTTAGTGATACAATACTTTAATAAATTATATGTAACTAACGATTATTTCAGTAAATTTACTCATTAAAGTTCTTTCAGCCAAAGGAATCACTTTGGGATTTTAAGGAGGCTCAATTTAGTGAGTGGACTGAATTTTTCATGACACCATTCACATGAGCCAAGCGGACTTGGGTGCGGTTCACTTTCACACCAACCGAACTCTGTCGACAAACAGATTCCAGTCCGCACCCTGAGAGAAAGCGGCATTCTGGGCTTTGAAACCCAAAGCAGATCTAGCAGAGGTCGCTGAGATACTGAACTAGGATCATTCTGCTTGTACTTCAATCCCTTCTGCTATTTGCTAAGTGATATTAAGCCTGATCCAAACAATTCCCCTCCTTGTGAACAGGCCCAATGCACTTTGTGTACTCAAGCTCAAGACTCATTTCTCATAAAACACCAGTTATCCCGATCACAATTTTCACCAAAATAGACAGTCTGATTCACTCGAAATAGCTTTGTATACATCTACGGATCAACACACCCTGAATCAGAACAAATAACTCAAAACACATGGCCCAGATCCGAGAGATTCTTGTTCCCAGCAACAAAGACGGACAGCATCTCAGCGATATAATAAACTATTTCAGAATCCGCACCGAGGCAGCAGCCAAAAAGCCAGATGGCAGTTGTTTGCTGTTATGCAATCACCTGTGATGCACTGGTGGGCAGCAGGCACAGAGGATCCCAAAGCAATTTATAGCAACATAATGCAGCCATTTAAACTAAAGAGATTGTTTCTGGCAAAGCAGCGGCATCAGAGCCTTCACCTCGAATAGACTTTTTATAAAGAGACAACAAGACAAGAGAGCTTTGTTTCTTTGTGCCGTCCCTGGACGTACAGATCAAATAGAACAGAGAACAAAGGGAGGACATTGATCATGGTTTGGGCACAAAAGCACACTTTAACTTAAACATGTTCAGTTACTGAAAGATCTTCAGCTCTTAATGAAAGGCTTTAATAGAGCCTACGTGCCCGTTATTAACTACAGATGCAGTCCCGTGTGTACCACAGAACACCTGCAGGGTTTTCTGGGAAGCGGTTTGGAAAGATGAATGGATTTGGGAATTAAACTTACTTAAATCTTCGTACATTTCGGCACTCCAAATAGGCTATTAGAGCGATATTTCACTACAGAAATCTTTATTCATCTTATGTTGGTCAGTGTGGCCCTCTGCAGATCACTATACTTTACTACAACATTAAAAAGTAATAGATGATGACAGATTTCCCTGAGGATTTCTGTGCATTTTGAAATCTATGTTAATAAGCTGGACAAAAATCAGTGATTAGAATCACTTATGAATATTTTACTAAGCTTTCCAAATACAAACATATGTTGTCGTTCAAAAGGTTGGGGTCAGTAAGATTTTAAGACATTTATAATTTTTTTTTTTTACCAAGGACACATTAAATTGATCAAAAGTGACAGTAAAGACATTTATAGTGACACAAAACTTATATAAATGCTGTTCTTTTGCACGTTCTATTCGTCAAAAAATCCTGAAAAAAAACTGACAAAAATATTAAGCAGCATTGATATTAAATATTTTTTAAAATGTTCATAATTGTTAAAATATTAAAAAAATGTGACTGTAGCAATGGATGCTGAAAATTCAGATTTTCCATCACTCGAATAAATGACATTTTAAATAAACTAAAATAAAAAAATGTTTTACTTGTAATAATTAAAATTTTCCTCAATATTACTGTTTTCACTGTATTTTTGATTTTAAAAAATGCAGCCTTGGTCATACAAATATATTTGTTGCAAATACATTTTTCTTTAGGAATTTTAAAAATGACAAAAAATTCATTTCTAGAAATTTGTACTTTTGAAAAGCCATTTGTTACACAACAGAACCCTTTAAAATAAACCAGTGAGGGCAGAAAAGTGACTAAAATGATGAAAAACTTCAGTGCTTGTCACCTAAAATATATATATTTTCCTTTATACGTTCATATGAAGTTACCTAAATACATAAACAAACATGGTTTTATCGCCATATCAGCATTAAATGTTGAATAAATACATAAAAATAATACAATATACATTTTTTTTTAAACCTTGCTTTTTGATTTAAAAAAACTTTCATGAACACATTACACCAATAGAAATGCATTAAATAATACTATGAAAGCATGAATAAAGCTGAACATACCCTCAGGTGGTTCTTCACGCAGGTAAGGAGGAAGTTCTTCATTGTTAGGGTCAGCAGGTGCTTCCTCGATCACCTCAGTCTCTGCACTCGGGCCCTTCAATTAACATGATTATACAGTTCACACTGTCAATACATAAAACCACACGCTACAATGCAAGCAATAACAGTCATTCCTGTTATGCAGTACATTTTCATGTTCCCAAGTCAAGTCTTATCATATATCTGATAAAATATTAAACTCACAATTTTAAAAGACCATCATATTACATTTGTTATTCTTTATACCACATCATTATTTTACCATATTAGTTATTTTTAGTAGCCATATTGGTTTTACAAGATAAATTACACACAGTCATACCTCAGTGTGAACTTTGATAATTGTTAAACAAGGACTAATGACATCATCTTGCAAGAAGTGACATCATTTTGGTGGGAAAACTGCACAAGCATAAGTATCAATACATTTAATGATTTCAGTGATGTTTTGTAATATTACTTTTATTTTTTCCACTGTAAAACATTCCATCATGTATCAAATATCAAAATTCATTTCAATTTGATACCCTCACGTAATGTAATTGTCAATCCCTCACTAAACAATTGCTTTTTAATTTGTCATCTTGTCAGGCATCCTTGTCATTGAGTAAAATAAATCAAGCATGAATTAGATTTTTAAAAAGTTAAGATGTTTGGGCACATTTATGAAATGCAAATTTATATGAATATGTATTCAGATTACAAACAAAACACTTATTTCTGCAAAGTTATAGAGAGCAAAAGATACTGCATAGCAGGAATGATCCAATTACAACAATAATCAAATCATCGTAATCATAATCTCTTCCCTGTTACAGCCTCTGATACAGCTAAAATCATAAACTTTATGGCTGCAAAAATAAAAAAGTAAAATCGCATAACAGACAGTGTATTTTGCACTATTTATCATGCTGATGAAATATTTTATCTAGGCATCGACTTATTGTCAGCTGCCTATCTATTTATCAGAGCGAGATAACACAACATCCATCCAATTTTACCGCATTTAATGCCACAGTATCAAAAAGGCCCGTATGTAACTATAACTATTCAACCGTTTGTGTTCGTGCAGAATCAGGTAAGAACAGGTTTGGCTTTATACTGTCAGCAAAACAAACCAAATCCTCCACTCACCTTCATTACTGAGGCTATTAATACAGCCGTGCTTTAAAAAGCGCGTCTCTGCACTTCAATATTGATGGACGCGCAGGACTATAGAATGGAAATAGCGCTTAATACGAAATAAATACAGCGTTTGCTATGTTTTTCATGCGAATTTAAGCGGAAGTGACGTCGGGATGTTTACGGAATTTGGGGATGACGTTGAGCTGTTGGTCGATAGGGGGCAGCAGTGCGTTAATTATACTCACTGACAATGACTCTTGGAACTGCAGTTACTAAGGTATTTTGACAGAATGTATCACAGTAAGTGTTTCATTAGGGACTTAAACTACATTTTTATGCCCGACTTCTTTCTTAGAAAAAAAAGAATCGTGACATATATTTGGATGCCATATTTGGCCTTTTTGTGTTTCTCAAAATCAAACTTAAGGCAATCATTGCAAAACAGAGCAAATAAATACGGTATTTACATAAATGTTTTTATGGTTTAAGGCTTCATTTTGTGTAGTTTTGTAAGGTTTACAACACCACAGATATTTAGGGGAGCATTTATGTTTAGACCTAAATTACTTTGTAAAAGATTAGTGTCACAATACACATCATTATTATTAGTAGTATTTATTTATTAGCCTATATATTTTTTTATTATTATCAAATGCATGTCGCATATTAGCTACACTTCTTTATTTATGTTTTAAACGTTTGCCTTACAGTCCTGTGTTTTATGAGCAGGTGGGATTGTGGTGATTCATAGCGGATGATTAGGCTACAGTGACATTAATGACAGGTTTCTCACCTTTTATGTCTCCACTGTCAGTCCTGTCAAACTATCTCTTACTTGCTGCTAAATAATGTATCACCTCATCAAAAAGAAGACTAGAGGTGAAACGGGGGTGGTTTTAGGTTTTATTGGCTGGAAGTCAAATTGATGTGAATCTAGGCCAGAGTTCAATGGACAAGGCATTAAGCTTTGCCGTTTAAACGGTGTTAAGAAATGTTGTGGAAAGAGGGCATAAATGGGCTTGACCTGTTTAGCAATTATTAATAATGCTACATAAATGTTTTTATGGTTTAAGGCTTCATTTTGTGTAGTTTTGTAAGGTTTACAACACCACAGATATTTAGGGGAGCATTTATGTTTAGACCTAAATTACTTTGTAAAAGATTAGTGTCACAATACACATCATTATTATTAGTAGTATTTATTTATTAGCCTATATATTTTTTTATTATTATCAAATGCATGTCGCATATTAGCTACACTTCTTTATTTATGTTTTAAACGTTTGCCTTACAGTCCTGTGTTTTATGAGCAGGTGGGATTGTGGTGATTCATAGCGGATGATTAGGCTACAGTGACATTAATGACAGGTTTCTCACCTTTTATGTCTCCACTGTCAGTCCTGTCAAACTATCTCTTACTTGCTGCTAAATAATGTATCACCTCATCAAAAAGAAGACTAGAGGTGAAACGGGGGTGGTTTTAGGTTTTATTGGCTGGAAGTAAAATTGATGTGAATCTAGGCCAGAGTTCAATGGACAAGGCATTAAGCTTTGCTGTTTAAACGGTGTTAAGAAATGTTGTGGAAAGAGGGCATAAATGGGCTTGACCTGTTTAGCAATTATTAAATTATAATGCTACTCTTACCATATGGCACATTTTTCCAGTCATTAAATTTTTTTTTACTGTACTATACTACTACTATATTTGAAGTCTTTGTTGACCTATTGATCAAATAATAAATTGTAATGCTACTCTCAGCATATGGCATATATTTTTCCAAATATTAAAAATTATATTTTTCTTGTTTTTTCTTAATGCTACTATATTTGAAGTGGACCTGTTTAGCAAATATTAAACTGTAACTACTCTTAATATATGGCATATGGAATTTATTTATTTATTTACAACAATGCATATTCTTTACTGGTCAAGCATTTAAAGCATCCTATCCTAATAATTTATTAATTATTCATGACATCAACAGTCAATGTAAAATACATCAATTCTCTCTTTCTCTGTCCTTGTGATTATGCAGATTATTTATTTATATATTTGATTATTTTAAATATTTATTTATTTACAAGTATGCATATTCTATGTAGGTCAAGTATTTAAAGTATCCTAATAATTTATTAATTTATTCATGACATCAACAGTAAAGTCAAAAAGGTCCTGTAAGGACAGCTGCTTGAGATAGAGGAAAGGTAAGACTGGTGAGAATGGTTTGGTCCTTTAAAGCCCCCAGTGAAACCATATGTTTTAGGAGGTCATGGATTAACTTAACTAGTCACGCAAAACATTTTCTGACACTGGTGTAATTGAGTATGTTGGCCTGCTGATCTAATCAACTATGACTTCATGAATAATCAATCATTTAAAAGAATTAATGAATCATTTAGAAAGACTCTGAGAGGTGAGAAGTATTAGCTTGATTTTTAGTACATGAAAGTTTCAGGGCTGTGTCAAGGTATAGATGAGCAAATCTCACAAAGGATATTAAAACATGTATGGGTCATGTCATATCTCACTCCAAAACCAAATTATGTAATGCAACAAAAATAATAATAATATGTGATAATAATATGTGAAGTAAGTTGTATAAAAAAGTATTTATTTATTAATTGATTGTAATATAATATAATATAATATAATATAATATAATATAATAAGGATTTGGAGTATTTATTTATTTATTAAGAACATATACATATACATGTACATACATACATATGTATATATTATTTATTTATTTATTTACATTATTTTAACAAGACCTCATCTCACTATAATGGGGCCTAATTAATAAAAAGTTTGAGACCTGCATGGCTCATCTTTCTCTAACAGGTAAGTTATTAGATGTATCATATATTAGATCAGGAACTTTCACCGTGAAGATTCTGCATGTCAGATCAAAGAGCAAATGAGATTTAGGCCTTCTAAAAATACCAGTGTGTTCATAGTAAGACAACACGTTTCAAGTTTTAAGTGGATTTACATCAGTTTTAGCACGGCACGTTCGCCTCAGTTATTGTGACCATTTTCATATGATCAGCATTGTGAGTTTTGGACAAAGACTGTGTTTCAGTATGGGTCCAATTCAAAGCGATGAAGATAAGGAAGTGGAGCTATCAGACATCCAGCCTCTTTATACCAAATTCATGAGAGAGTGCCCAAGTGGAGCCCTGCATCTTCATGAATTCCGCAAGATCTTCGGAGTTCAGAGCACATCAGAACATGAGGCTTTGTACATGGAAACCCTCTTCAAATCTTTTGACACAAACAGGGTAAGCGTAAGAGTTGAAAAGGTCAACTATTTTTTACATAATTTCTTCTAAAATGTTCAAATTCAAGTTTCTCATTTCCTTATAAATTGAGTGCTGATTGCGAAGCAGCAATTTCTATGCATAATCTGTGATTAGTTGCATGTGTGATCAGCTAATCGGCTGGAAATCATTCATGTTTCTTTGCAGGATGATGTTATAGACTTTATGGAATTTGTAGCAGCCATCCACCTGGTTCTGAGAGGCAAACTGGAAGACAGATTGAAATGGTCTTTTAAAGTTTATGACAGAGATGACAATGGAAAGTTGGACAGGCAAGAGGTCAAACGTGTTATAAAGGTTCGAGTGATCTTGAGTCTCACCATTCTCATCTTTTTATTCCCTCTTCTAATGGGTTTCTTGCTTTTTGCTTCTAGATAATTTGCCAATTTAAGAAAAACCACATCAACATGACACCCAGTGACATTTGCGACAGGATATTCGAACTTTTGGATGAAAACAAAGATGGTAAGTGCCTCTTTTTCCTTTCTCAAATAAATAGTTAAAGACTAAACATGTAATATCTTGGCGTAAACAGCTAAAGGTATATATATTGCCAAAGACACAGACCAACACACCCATAAAAGCTTGTTAAACATTTAATTTCAAGACATAGGCTTTCACTTTTCAAGGAAGGCTTTCCACTAGATGTTGCAACATGTCTGTAGGGATTTGCTTCCATTGGAGAGCATCAGTGAGGTCAGGGGCTAATGCTGGGTGATGGGGGTCTGGATAACAGACAGCCTTCCAGTTCATCCCAAAGCTGTTTAGTGGGATTCTGGTCTGGGCTTTGTGAAGGCCAGTCAAGGTCTTCCACACCAAACTCAGTATATATCTTTTCTTTAATTTATTTGTGTCATTATTAAGATCTGTCTTTACTGGAATTAAAGGGCTTTCCACATTTTGACCATAATGTATAAAACAGCAAAGCCAGAAGATGGGCTGACCTGTTAGATTGTTGTATATTAATCAAATGACCTTTAACCTTCTTATCTTCAACTATGTGTACTTCATTTATTTGCTTAAATCTATCTATCTATCTATCTATCTATCTATCTATTTATAAAAATGTTCACACAAATTATGACTATCCAACCGTTGTGATGTTTTTTCCACCAAAGAGAATTTTTTTGATCATTTCTATTTTTTTTTTTTAATCATTTTGAAATTTAGCAAAAAAAGTGTTAAAATATTGTTTAATTGTGTACATTTAGGATTAGTAAAACTTGCTATAATAAGATATCTACTATTTTATTCCATAAACATTTAATTTGTCATTCACATCACTGTAATTTCCATCACAGAAAACACACAATAAATAATTTAAGATGTGTTGGAAATAATGTTTTTTGTTGATTGAGAAAAATGTGTGAAATCTCCTGCGATGTATGTAGATATCAGATACTCTTTTGGACACTAATAGACAACCTAAATAAACTCATGGGTGTATCAAAAGGATGTTTACTTTCTAAAAATCCACAGGACCACATCAATGAATAAACAGCCTTACATAATGATCCCGTGTGTCACAGCCTAAATATGTGTAGGCTTAGACTGTTGCTAAATTAAGCCTGTCGGTGGTCAGGGAGAGAGAGGCGTGGGGGCTGATGAAAGAATTCCTTAAAGACTCTTCCTCTTCCTCTTCACCAACAGGTCAAATATCCCTGTCAGAGTTCATGGAAGGGGCAAAAAAAGATGCCTGGATTATGGACCTCTTAAAACTGGACACTAATGCACGTGGCTGGTTCAGGGAAAACTGGGGGGAAAAAACATGAGTTTTCAATAAGGTCAAGGCCCATGGGCCAAAACCTGCTTGACCTTTTAAAATCTTTCAAATGTTGAGGGCTGCAAATGGGAGAGACCTGGTA